ATGGCCTCCAATTCACAAGAAATGGCCTCCAATCTACTAGAAATGGCCTCCAATTCACAAGAAATGGCCTCCAATCTGCTATAGAAATGGCCTCCAATCTACTAGAAATGGCCTCCAATTCACAAGAAATGGCCTCCAATCTGCTATAGAAATGGCCTCCAATCTACTAGCTTCCTTTTCTTCGGCTTTGGCCAGTCCCCTCTCTTTGCCGGCCTCTCGGTGGGTTACGCCGCGGCTGCGGCTTCCGCCTTCCGCGGCAAGACGACCTGCCGAGCCGAGCCAGGAGGACTCAGTTCGGAGGGGAGGAGTGGCTAAAAGAGTTGAGTCAGCGGGTTTTTACTGTTTTCTTTGAGAAGTGTGCCATAGTTAGCCCACTTGAAGTGGTCGGCTGGCATATTTGGGCGCCAAATCTTGGTAGGTGTGAGTTGTTTGCCATCATTTTGTTGTTTTTGGGCTGATTTGATGGGAATCTACACCATATCTAGTGCGAATTCCCGTCATGCTTTGACTCCTGTGGGGTTGAAGCACTGAAAACTACCCCAAATTCCTCCAGAAGCAAAGGTCCTGACGCATGAAAAAAGTCTGGAGTAGACCATAATCGCCATAATGGTATACCAGGGCCTTCAAGGGTAATGGACACCCCGAATCACGTTCAGGGGCTATGACACCCCGTGACAGGAGGTGGTCCAACGATCGACAGCGTTGTTCTTTCATCTCTGCGTCCGAAGTCTCGAGACGACTCGCCAGGGTTGCGAACGAAACGACCTGCGCTCCTAGCAGCACAGATGTTGGGGTTCTTGGATGGGAACCTATTTGGGTCTTGAGGGGTGTCATAAACCACCCTTTTCCGTCATGTCACCATGTATGCATCCCGGTGTGCCATGTTTTGATGGCGCATCCCCCAGTTCGACGGCTCGACCACCCAAGGAAGGCCGCCGTGGCCAGGCCGGAGTGGACGGGTGAGACGAGCGGCAGAGATTGATCCGCTTGGGGGGTGCAACGATCGGTCGAATTGGGGGAACGAAGGACTCAGTTGAAGGACTGAGTGACTCGGGTAGTGCCTGGATGAACGAAGGGATGACTGACTGGGTGTTTGGGGTGTTTGGGGTGTTTGGGGTGTTTGCGAAGGGATGACTGATCTGAGTTTATACCAGGAGTCACAAAGTAGGGGTGGTGTTTAGTCCCATCCAGTGAGTGGATGTTCTGGGCACCCTTATCCTCGATCGCACCCCGTCGAACGTGACTGGTGGTAAGGGCTTTGAGCGAAGACACCCTGGGGCCTGGTGTCTCCAGTGCCGAATCCTGGGGTCTGGGGTCGAAGCAAACCGGTTTGGTTCCGGATGTGGGAAAAGGGCATGAAGAACCGGAGCGTTTGGGCCTGAACAAACCTCACCCTATGGATCCAAGTACCCTCTGAGAAGGTGGGACTGGGGTGGGTTTGGAGGGTCCAAGTACCTTTTGAGGAGGTACGACTGGTTCCCTAGGGTCAATGTAGTCTCATATTCCACCGATGAAATCGGTGGTGTTTGCCGGTTCCAGGTCTCCCATCAAGTGGGACATGGGGCAGAGAAGCGGTCCACCTACTAGCGATGGAATCCAATGGCGTCTAGACATGGCCTCCGTCTAGAGCAATGACGGATATGATCCGCACCTTTTCTGTCTTGAGGAAGATCATTCTGATGTTTCATCATCATGGACATAAATGAATTCTTAACACCCCGCAAGTAACACATCGTTTATTAGGCCCAAAAAGGCGCAGGAAAAAGGGTCTAAAGAACATCTACATAAGATAAATGAGACATAATGAGACAATAACGGTCCAAAGAAGAGTAGTCTTTATAGATATCGTATGATATCTTGACGTGTCCAAAGAAGGGAACAGATGGTCTAAAGAGAACAAACAACAGTCTACAGAAAGCAAAAGGTCTACAGGAAACCCACCTAAGGAAAGAAAGGCAAAGATAAAAATCAATAGAGAAACAATGAGACACATAAATACAGTCTTATATATTAAGAAAGCAAGAAAACCGTGTCAACAAAAAGAAAACCGTCTAAAGAAGTGCCAATTAGAGTCTTATTAATAAAGAAACTCGAATAAATGCATGAATAAAAATGTCCAAAAGACAAAATAAGAGTCTTGAAGACAAACTATTGTCGATCTAAAACAACATCTAAAGCTAAAGAGTAACTAATGTTAAACCCAAGTCCTCCCGAAACCATTCTCAGCATGAACTCTCATTTCAGGACCATACTGACCCAAAGGAAAGTTCCAAGACCATTCTCAGGACGGTCTTTCGTTACAAGGGGGCTGGGTGCACCATCACAAGGACCTTTTTTCCACATCAGAGCGTGTTCTAGCGCATCCACCAACACATCATCACGCTCAGGATGTCCATCTCATCATGCATTCGCAAGTTGATGTAACCTTGGCGATGCACGGACTTGTTCCCCAGTCACATCTGACATCTAGATTTAAAATATGTTTCAAAAAACGATTGCAAAAAAGAGGTCAAAAGTTATGACTGATGCTGAGATTGGCAGCCCCATATAGAAACGAGGGAGCAACACTTGCTCCACATAGTTTTTGGAACAGGCATTGGCAAGGTCCGACACCTTCCCCACAAAATCTTCACTTTTGAACCCGTGGTAGAACCTGCTGTTTTCTCCTTATCATGTTGGCAACGAGTGAATCGCAATAGACCCTTTGGACTTTAGAAAATACCTCGCCTCAGACCACCCATTCCTTTCAAGAGCTTCAGTCAGAGGTGCAAAGGCTGTTGAAGATATAACCAAGTTTCTTTCGCTTTCTTCAGCGTGTAGGATTTCTTGGAAAGCCTAGGTGTCCATGGACTGTTTTAATGCAGGAAACATGAACAGCCAAACATTCTCAATCTATCAGTTTAACTGCTAGATCAACCATAATGAGCCATGATAAGCCAGGGCAGTGAGCCCAAACCGGATGTTCCATTCAAGCCACATGGAACTTTGGTTTGGTGGGCCACCGCAGAAGCCCAGCTTGGATGGCAAGGCCAGCAAGTTGACAATAGGCCCTCATGCAACCATCCTAAGTGGGAGGCTTGCTGGAAAATATATTTACCCTTGCAGCTTTCCTTTAACTAACAAAACTCTGTTTAAACATGAAAACAAGACATGCGTCACAATGTTCCCGGAATACTGCTACATCACAATCCGTCAAATAATATCCAGCTCGTTCATGGGAATCAAACCACTGCGCCATGTGGTACCTGGGAGGGCTGGGTCTTACACTTGCATTTGCACAGCCGACTCGCCAACGCATCCCAGGGAAAATTGTTGGTTTAATCTATGACTGAAATTCTGAAAAACAGTCTCAACTAAGTCCAGTTGCACACAGCGGGTCATGAGACACAGCACGTCATCTTCGCGAGTCACTACACTAACCAGCTCATCTGCTAGCCAAGCACAAACAACTCGTGCCTCAGGATTCTGGAGGGCAAGCTTCAAAACTTTTTTTGTCAGTTCAACCATAATGCACACACATATAAATAGAAACATTGGACAAGGCAGTGTGGACCCGGGCAAACATATCATAGTACGCGTATGTATGTGCAGCGCAATGTATATAACTACTCCTCATCACCATGGCCAAGACGCGTTGTGTGCCTTGGCTTGGAGTTCAGGATACGGGCGCTGCAGCGATTTCAACCTTCTGTCGGTGAAACGAGGCTGACTTTGCCTCAGGTGGTGAAACGCATGTGGGTATTGAAAGGATCATGGGTGAAGTCCAGTAACGAATGAAACCAAAACAAAGCTCTAGCTCAAAGTCAACAAGGTGCTGGACCTTGTTTTGCCGTGACCAGCTTCTGAACCGTTGGTATGCAGTGGCAAGAAGATCATTGACCGACTTCAGCGACCGATCACCCCAGAAGTCGTAATCACTAACCAAAGAGCGCATCGACGACCCGCAAATCCAAAGCACTGTACCAAGGTTCAAGCAGTGCATTGCACACCACTTCACCAATCGAGGGTTGAACTGAGGGAGTTCCACGATCGGGCCTTGGATCCGAAGTTGTTGTTTTAAGATGGTCAGTGATCTATATATAAAGATTAAAGATACTACGCAGAAAAAGGCAGTGCAAAACAGATGGGGGAACAGAACATTGGCGAGGAACTCCGGGGTCCAGGCTTCAAACATTCTTTGAAGAAGGTTTCTGTGTCATGCCGAAACTGCTGGTGTAGGTCACAGGTGGCCTTCAACATCTCCTGCTTGTGCGTCCTACATTGATGGCAGATTTGGTTGCAGTTGTAGCCAACTGATAAGTTCAGCCACTCCTCAGTCCCCAGATCTATGTCAAGGTGGCCAAAAGAATTTATTTTGGAGACCACACATATAGGCTAATAGGTGACCTTAAAACAAGTATGAATATAAAAGCTGACGTCGCAAACGGGTTTTGGGGCAAGGGTCCCTTTGGAATTTCCAATCGCCGCGGATCTGTGTGACCATTGCATACAGCTTGGACTCACTAGCTCCTGGTCGGTGCACCGGAACCCCTTCCAGCAAAAGCTTGAAAGATGCCACCACCTTGAGCGAGACACTCAGGTATTGGGATGGCTTACTCTGGCCCTCGCTTACAAGAGCCTACTTTCAGCAAGTGACTAGGCAAAAAAAAATATTCATGGATCAGGGACAAGGCACTGGCTTCAGGAATGCATATAGTGTTGCAAAACCCAGGCTGAGCGCCTATAGGATGAAATTCAACAGATTATGCTGGGCTAGAGGTTGCCAACAGTAATGATCCACAACTTAAAAAATTTGGTTGCACTAAATGGGCCCAAGCTTCTTCACGGATTGTAAACAGGGGCCAGCAGCTAGCTAGGGAGTGCTTCCGTCTATCCAAAGTATGACCACAAAGAACAACGATGATCTTCTCATGCTGTTGGTTGTAGGCGACATCATCACCCCAGATGTACATAGGGTGAGTCACAGATTCTCGCTGCGCTGGACATAGTCGTCCATATGTGATGTGATCCCAGTACTCAACCAACTCCGAACCGTCCACATTGCACCATGCATTGTTTCGAACCAACCAGGGCAGAAGTTCGTGTGGCAACACCAGTGGAAATTGCCTAGCAAGAAACCATCGTTTTTGGTTGATTCATGCTTTTGACACATGTGTTTTTGGCCAACCCGGCCTGCTTTCAATCCCAGTTTCACCGCTTTCTTTGTGCACAGGGACGTCAACCACGTGGCGAGGAACCTTATGGCAGGTAAGGTTGGCCAGTTGGAAACCAAGGGGTGACAAACTAAACAACACTTTGCCACCATACCCCCAATCAACCCAACAAAACCTAATCGTAACAGCCAAAACACATCATCAAACAGGAGTTTCTGGAATTGGCGTTGAATGTCTCTGGAAACATTACCAGGCCGTTTCCCAGAATTGCCAGCTTTCCTTGCAGCAGCACAGGGCCCTTTGAAAGCATGACCCTGGAAGGCAAACTCCTTGGAGACCACATCCAAGGTTTCTTGCATATTGCAGAAGGATTTCTCCTTGGCCAACTGTATAGTTGCACAAGGGCCCAAATGTGAATCACAAATCCCGACAACACGATTTCGACCCACATGGTACATGGAAGAACAAACAGTTATTTGTTTAAGAGATATTATCCTTCCATCATGAGGAAATCCACCTGGTCCCATCCAAGCCTCTCCAAAGCCGGTATGTTTGAGTAAGTACCCAAACAGTGGTGAGGTCTTGGCACTGGACGCCGATGATGTTCCTGGAGCACCTGCGTTGGGCGACAGACGTGGAGTCACATCAGGCACCCTGATGGGTGGTCCAGCTTACAAAGTCAGTTTGTAGTGCCCAGCTTGGTGATCGTGCCAGAAACAAATAACAAAATCAAATGGCCTGGGGTACTGCTCTTGTAAATCTACATTATATTACATTCTGGTTTCTGAACACAATTGCTTTGGTGCACCTTTTCCCATAGCTATCTTCTCGTGCGATTTCGATTGAGATGCATTTCCAAAAGCCAGATGTTCTCACCTGAGCTCAACTCATCTTTTCAAAAATTAGCTGGAGCTGTGTGGTCAACAGCACCGTAGATGCCCCTAGACAATGCGCCCCAATTTCTGGTTGCCTGATGACAGATACATATATACTGTTGGTGGTCAAAGACCAAAACAAACCAATACACACATCTTTATATATATATATTTGTTTATTATTGATATGACCGCACCATTGAGACAACCATTAGACCGAAGCAAGCCATTGCATTGTCTCTATGGACAGGCGCACCACACACTCAAGCTGTGCCATCCCGCACCCATCTCACTTTGCCCCTTCAGGATCTGCGTCCTTCTTGGATTTCTTGGCCTTGCTCTTTGGCTTTGGAGGATCCTTGGCAATATGGTGGCCAGGAAGGTCTCACAAGTCAAGGATGAACCATCAGGTATATAATGTGTTCCCACTAGATTCATAACGAGTTGCAACTGCCATTTTGACACTGCGAACTGTTCCAGCATAGCTCAAAACATGCCCGTCTAGGTCATTGAACGCCTTGTCAAACTTGGACTTCAAGTCCGGTGTATTCTGAATCTCGTCTTCAGTCTGGTTCATCATATACAAGCCCTCAAGCACGGATTTCAACTTCTCAAACTCAGACTCCCGGGATCCAAGTTCTGCCTCATAGCCTTTTTTCATATCTCCAGACCTCATGAAAAGTGGAAGCAAAGTTGTCATCATGACATCATATGTAAATGTGGTATAAAAACACAAAATGCAACCAACCAAAATTATTTGGCAAAGCTGGGTTGCAGTACTGATTCCTGGACTTTGTGGAGCCAAATTTTCACATCGGTCAGTTTGCTAGAGCAAACTTGAATTTTGGAACTGGCTTGACTTTTCAAAGTCTTGGGTTTTTTGGCTCGAGCTTTTGGTGCTGGTGGTGGTGGGGGAGGTGGATTACCATTCACATTCTGCCCGGGCGGTGCGTTACCACCAGCGCCACCTGACCCGCCCCTGCTCTCCCCCATCCTAGGATTCATGTACTGCAGCGACACATCCATGTCTCTGTTGCCTTGCAACACCACAGGCCTGGGTTGGGAGGATGTGAGAGGTTGACTTAATGTGTTCTGAGGTCATATTCTATCTTTCCAAAAAAATTGATCCATGAGAGATATTCAAGTCATGCCAGCATCCTGTACGCGTCTATGATGATTGTTATTTGCAGGCTAGCAGCATGATGTCCCTGGTTTGTTCTTGAGATAGGTCCCCATGTACATTCAGCCCTGACTCAAACGTGCTGGTCTCAGAGTCTTCGAAGACCAAGGAATCAAATACACGGTAGAATTCGTGTTCCTCAGACGGATGAGCTTTTACAGCTGCATGATTCCTAGCTAGCTAGTTCTTTTTAAGATTTCTTGTGTTACTGCGATTTCGAGGAATCTAGCTGCAAAAGGTTGCTTCATGTTTTAAAAGGGTCGATGCCTCAATCATATCCAAGAGTCGGGATCATGCGGAAGATCAGGGTTTCTCATGACCCATACCGGTTCCCCTGGCTTCCTTGCTGCCTCTGCTTGCCTTTTGTCTTGGATGATCGATAAGGCAACTGCCTCCCCATACCGTTCCACAAGCCATGTCTTGTCTCGCATCATGTGCTTTCCACGGCGTCTGGTTTGGGTCGAATGCGTGGCATTGATGTACGTGGCACTCTGTGCCCAGTTGCCTTTACAGGCAAGCCAATCTTCGTACAGCTGGGTGATGATCTTGGAGTCTCAGTCACTGGAGGCGCCAGGTGGGAGGATTCCAAGAACAGGGATCTTTGGCATGTGCACCAGAAACAAAATAATAAGCCATAAGCTGATCATGATCGATGGTTGTGGGTAATATGTGGCCACCCCTCATGAACAACCATCACAAATTCAGATAAATTCAGAAAAGTAGCTGTACCTCCGGGTCGCAGCCACCTTCAAAACTGCGTCCGGGCATTCACCTAATCGGCAAGGCGAAGCATTTGGGGGACTGTTCAAAGCTCATATATACTATGACACTGGTTACGTACTAGTATCAAGACGAGTTACTGTTGAAGGACCGATTGAAGCACATTCGGGAATTATGCGCTAGTCTTTTGTTCCTCTCCTCAAGAGTCTCCAATCGCCCCTTTGGACCCTTGAAAAGCCATGATCCATCTGGCTGCTGCACTGCATCTGGATTGTTATGTAGATCCTCGGCCTCAGAGTTCAAAATTTGGTGAAAACTATTCGTATCCATCAACAAGACTTGCAATTCAGCGTATTTTGATCTTGGATCATGTGCGTCCACTTGGTGAACACAGGGAAAAGACAACCAGATCCACACAGCTTGAGCCAAGAATCCTGCAACTGCGTTGTGTCCTTTCGGCGGATGCAAGCCAAAGCCCCTTTGAGCGGCTCCTCCGCATTCAGGCCACTGATGTCGGAAGAAGATGGCCCCTGCACAGTGGCAGCTGTTGGCAGCCAAAGGCGGGATACGCGGCCAGGAATGATTGGCTCACAAAATCTGTGTGTACGACATATATATATATATATATGTTTATATATTATATAGATTAAAATTGAAACATTTACATATATGTTGACACATCAAGATTCCTGGCCTTAGCAGCAGCAGCTTCCAACACAGCTAGGAGTGCAGTTTTGGCCGGACCATCGGCAAGGTCACAAATTTTCTTCAAAGCAAGCTGGGAAGCAGTGTCCATGTTCATGGTTGCATCACCCCGTTTTTCAACAGCAGCAGCACCAGCTTCAGAACCCTGGGTCTGTTGAGGAAGCTCGGTCTTGTTACCTTCACGACCACCAGCTTCAGCCATTTCAGCTTGTTCAGGACCCTTGGAACCCTCACAACCACCAGCGTCGGGCATTTCAGGTTGTTCAGGACCCTTGGAACCTTCACAACCACCAGCGTCAGGCATTTCAGGTTGTTCAGGACCCTTGGAATCTTGAGGAAGCTTGGTCCGGTTACCATCACAACCACCAGCTTCAGAACCCAAAGGTGGCAGACTATCAGGTAGCTGACTATCTGTCCACAATTCTGGAGGGGTGTCCCGTCGGGTGAGCCCAGAAGATTCCACCACCTGCACATCATCATCCTGATCACTCTGGCCCAGGATGAGTGTTGGAGCATTCAGGATGGCACGTGTCTCATCCTCCTTGTCCTCAAGATCCAATCCACCGAACAACTCTTCAATCTCTTTAGCCATGTCCACATCCGCTTGGTCAATCTCTAGATCTATGGTTTGGGGTTCTGGAGGTGTCTGATTCTTTTGTTTGTGAATCAGATCAGTCAGACGGGTGCACATCTCGGCATCTACCTTGCTTATCTCAGCCTTCATGGTTTCCAACTGAGAACTGGCAGATTCTATCTTTTCGTCTTTCCATTGATCAAGGGCTGCCTTCCTCTTCTCAAAAAGCTTGGTACTGTTGGGTGTTTGGTCTGCTGCGGTGGACCCAAGAGCACCTTCCTGAAGCTGTTGGAGCATTCGGGCATGAGTCCCCTCAATTTTGGATCTCTTCAACCCCAAATCTTCCTCATAGTGGTTTTTCTCATCAGTGATCGAAGCAAGCTTGAGACACAAGTCAAGGACGCACCGACAATCAGATTGAAGAGGCTCTGGTAGGAAATCCAAAGCATGGTCTTCCGCCACATGCCGCTTCTCCAACCAATTAAGAATCTTCCAGCCGAGGTCTTCATTAGACTCCGTTTCGTGAAACATTTTCAGAAACAGGGAGCACTCCAAATTGATATCTGGTATTGTCGTCATGGTGTCCAGGCTGCGAAGTTCTCCCTGAGCTGCACAAGGACCAGGACCTGAGCCAAAACCACATGTGGAGTTGGGCGATCCTTGATGGTGGAACCTCCGCCAAATACATCCATGTAATCTCTTCAAGCGTGCAAGAAAACAGTTCACAGCTCAGTACTGTCAGTTGGGCACCCCCAAACCAATTTAGACAAAGAACTTCCCTCAGCTTGCAGCACTGGTGGTCTCGAAGCTGCAGATGCCTGATGTCAGATTTAATTCTAGTAAGTGCTTAAGGTCGTGGCAAAGCGCCAAACCCCATCCACCCTTCTGTTTTTCGAGGAGGAATCGGCTGAGTGCAGACAAGGTGCATCCCCTGCTGGTGCTTCAGGCGAGGGCTCTGCGGGCATGGGTTGAGGTTCTGCTCTAGGGTGACCCTCATCCGCGTCCACATGAACCCTTCCCTTTTTTGCATCAGGACTTTTAACTGGTGTTGACGTCTTCTCTGGGGTTGAAATGGTCTTCCGAACATTGGGTCGGTTCTCACTTCTGGTAGGGGTTGAGACAGCTTTTCTCTGATGTTTCTGGGGTGTAGCCTGCACACGCATAGATGCAGCAGCACCAGTGGGTACACTGCTGCCAGTGCCACCATCCATACCTCAAATCACTAAATGGGAGCAATTGTTTGGAAAGTCTGACTAGTGTCATGTGTGACCTTTGTTCTACAACTAGGAATGCAATCCCAAGGGCTGGCTGCCGCAAGTTTCCGGTTTACCATTTCCATCTCTGCATCCATGTCAAACGCTTCGGAGGGTGGTTCAGCAGCCTTCTTGCCCTTCGGTGCAACCTTGGTGGTGTTTCAAGGTGGGCTGCAACTCGGATCAAACACAACACAGCCATGAATTGAGTTTTTCACTGGACAAGAAACTGAAGATTTTGCAGTTGCTTTTGGTGCGCTTTTGGCTGCAGTCTTGGATGCTTTTGGGGGCATTGACGCCACCTGCAGATTCGAAGGGCCCACGGCAGCCTGGACTACCCCATTAGTATACGAATTTTGCCTGTGGCCGTTTAACGGAGTTTAACGGATTTTAACGCCCAGAAGTCCGTCAGGACGGATTTTAACGCGGTTTAACGCGATTTTAACGCACCCCCCACCTCCAACAAAAACCTCCACCAAGCTGGTCCAGGGCTCAAATTGGCACTTCGAAATGGCTGCAGTAGGGTTTGGCTGATGACACCAGCTTCGTTTTGCACACAAATCCTCATGATTGCCTTTGGTCCCAATGGCAAAAAACATGAGCAACAGCAAACTATTTCTCATGTTGCAAATCAGCAGTCTTCTTCTGCAGTTGCAGCAGCGAATTGTCACGGCCAATCAGATTATTGAATTGACCCACATTCGAACACTGGAATCCATACCCGGTATGATTGGGGGCAGCTTGGATGATCTCCAATGTTTTTAAAACCCATGTTCAAATGTGGGAAATGGGAAACAAAAGTCATGTTGCAGCTGCAATCTATGTGTGCGCAGCTAGACTTTGCTTTTGGTGCTCTGACCAACCATATTTGACATAATTGTCAAAAATCGTTTGGGTGGGCTGAACCTGCACAGGAATCAACGGATCAGGTCTGAATGCACCCTTAGACGCTGCACTCTGGACCAACCTAACCAAGGGCTCGAGGTTCCCATGCCCCCAATCGTCTGCCAATGCCTAAGTGCAAGCCGAGTCAGAAAGTTTTTTGGAAACAGCTTAGCCAACACCCCGCCACATTCAGGATCTATATATTACTCATGATCATGACCCTTCGAACATCTTCGAACCTAGATTGATCAAGCCTCCATAATATTAGTCGGTACCCTAGTTGTGGACAGCCACATGGGACGAGTGTGAGCCCTTCGGACGCAGCCAAGGCACCTGGTAGCCTTGGCTGATGAGAGCATGAAGGTCAATCAGGCCAGTGTCCGGGCTCTGGGACTCCTAAGGCGGCCAGCTGGACATACAAGGGTAAACTCATGTGCGCAGTGCCGTGCCTTCAAAGAACACTCAACGGACCTTCACGGAAATCTGCACGATTGCAGTATCCGGCTCCAACCACCTAACCGTTCGACTACTCACCCCCAAAACACCTCAACTAAAACTGAAATGGAAAGCAGCCTCCAATCCAAGTCTCAGCCCACTCGAGATGCAATTCAGCCACACGAGAGCCGAAGAAGCGTGGGTAGTTCGCAGACTCAGCCATACTCGAATCACCAGTCCTGGGCTCGAGTTTATTTGGGAATATCCACGCACTATACATGCATGCATTGCGCAAGGAGCCCAGACTGATGTTATCCCACATTTATTGAAGCTTAAAACTTGACGTGACCTGATGTTTGGCCATGTGTGGATGCCTTGCAAGCTGGGACCCTAACACTTGCTGGCGATGCCCAGATTTGCTGAGAGTTTTCTTGACCATGTTCTTGCCCAGCAATTCGGCACGACTTTTGATGCCATCTCTGATTTCAGAAGTAAGTCGCTCCTTCAGCTTGGGTAGCCAAGGCCTTAGGGTCAGCCCCGAAGTACATTCACAGAAAAACGGACCAGCACAGCAACTGTGAAGGTAAAGGGAAACCAAACCTATTGCCTGACAAAACAGGACCTGGATCACCCATCAAACTAAGGAAAGGGCACTGAACCCATAGCAACTTCAGGTTTTGCAGACCATGATCCATAGGTGCCCATGTGCCTGGGACGAGAACGTCAATAAAGTTTGACGGGGGAATTCTTTTATGGTTGACAGTCCGCATTTTAATGCACTATCATTCTAGTAAGCCCCCCACCAGCTACATGTCATAGTTCTCAAGAGCGGGTGGTGTAGAAGACTTTGGAAGACAGGTAGGCACTTGTACTTGGACCCCCGAGGGTTTTCCAAAGCCCACTGTCCCCCACGGACCACCACAATGGCAATGCAAATGGCAGCACGGTATGCCAGAACATTTCCTTCAACGACAAACGGATAAGCCAAATTCCCATGTGGCAATTCATAACTACGGCGGTGTTGAGAGCTGGCCATCCACGAATGAGAATTGCATGGTAAACCAACGAATAGGAGGCCATGTGTAGAAACCCTCAATGCCAAGCGGATAGCTGTCAGGATCCCAAGGTTCCCCCGGAGATCTTCGATGATAGGATCTCTCATCCAATCATAGCCTTGCCTTGGCCGGCGGAATTTTGCTGGTTTTGCAAAGTTGTGAAATTTCTACATGATCCATTATGGCAATTTTCCTCTTGGGTTGGCCAAGGACGGGGCCATGATGCAAGAAATGCG